CCGGACAAAAAGACGTGTTGCAGGCACGAAACATACTACCAATAGAAATACATTGCTTTTAAAATCGTTCTGTGTGACACGAAAAAAAAGTGAAAATCGTGTTGGTGAACACGAATCAATAGATTAAATTAATTTCGTGACTATAACACGAAATGGCGTGAGACTGGGTTGGTTATTTGTATGGGCCAGTGTTAGGTAAGTGCTGGTTTTGTACCCTACATCTATGTTAAGCTGTTCAACGTTCTACTAACACTATTTTATGTAGTTATAATATAATAAGATAATAAATTGAGACAGCTGAGAGTTTATCTGTTTGAATGTCCTTAAATTACAGTATTCCAAACAGCAGAACTTCTGTGTATGTGATGTGACTGATAACCTGACATGGTTTAGCCTTTTCCCACACCTACTACTTGCCTGATCAGCCTGCTCTCAGCTTTCTCATTTTTCTGTGTTGTATTGAAGCAGTGTTCTAAATGTAAAATGACTGACATTTTATTTTAATGTGTAGATTGTCTTTGAGAACTGCTCACCCGTGGAGATTGCAGTGGCAAAGTGTTCCTGTGTAGCTGGAACAGCACTCTGCAACCACAATGTTGCACTGCTGTTCCAGACCGCACACTACTCCACACTCAACCTGGCTGCTGTACCCCCTGTCCTCAGCTGCACTGAAACAGAGCAGCGATGGCACAAGCCAAAAACCATGGTAAGTACAGTATGTGTTCACAACCAATCCACGGTTTAATGAGTATTTCCTTTGTGCCAAGAGCTGATCTAGTATGTTGCATCAATGACCATTTCAATTAATTTGACAATTCTTTTGTGTAATTAATAGGGTGTGAAACCAGGCAGAGTGAGTGACATGGTGTTCATTTCCACTAAGCCAAAGCAGTTTACAGTTGCTGACGGTGTAAGGTAATATCTATTGTCCTAAGTAATTGTATGTAGCCTGCAACAACTTTGTGATTGTTGTCTGAGTGTAAAATTGTTCTTAAAGTCCTAATTATTATATAAACATGTTCAAAGGAGTACACGTTACAAGGCTGTGCGGGGGGAGCTGCCAGACCCAGATGTCCTCAAAGTCAGCGAGGTATACAAGGACTTCTCAGCAGACATCGCACCACTGATCACCACCATGGCTATAAGTGTGGACGTGCCACTGGTTAACTCCACCTTTGGAAAAGTTCAGGAAGGTAGCCCTATCTCATACCAGCATCCACTACCTCTTAGCCGGGTTATAGTGCGTCACCCAGATGCCCCTCCACCACCACCTCTACCTGTGGATGGCTATAGGCTGGAGCCTACCACCTGTGAGTTTGTGTGCAGTCACCAACAGCACCTCCATCTACTGTCACTTGCGACAACATTGCTCATGGCAAGGAAAATCGAGGTGGCCACAAGGGAGCAGAGCGATTGTGTGGAATGGCACCGTGTTAGGAGGCCAAGAATAACTTCTTCCCGTTTCAGGGAAGTATGCCATGTTCAAGGTCAGAGTTCGGCTGAAAACTTGGCACAACGGATTCGGAAGGGAGTGGCGCAAACGGCATCAATGAAGAGGGGACTGGCACTGGAACCGGTTGCCATCCAGGAATACTGCCGGATTAAAAACACCAATTACTGGCCGTGTGGGTTTGTCATTCACCCAGATGCCCCCTGGTTAGGGTCATCTCCTGACGGTCTGGTGTTTGACCCAACTGAGAGCCCACCTTTTGGACTTGTTGAAATAAAATGCCCAAATGCAAAAAGTTATGTGGACTGTAGCTACTTAAAAATGCAAAGTGGCACATTAAAACTGAAGCAGTCTCATAGCTACTATTGGCAGGTGCAAGGCCAGCTCCTACTCACAGGGAGGGAGTGGTGCGATTTCGTCGTTTTTGCAGAGGAGGATATCCTTATACAGCGTATCTGCAGAGACTGCGAGGTGGCTACAACCATTACGGGCCGTCTCCACGGCAGCGTTAAAAAAATCTTGGAGGTGGGCGTATCTGAGGCTTGGGGATTTTTTTGCGATCAACCAATCACATGAATCTCCCGCCCGCGACATATGAAGCCAAAAAGCCCGAAGTAAACTGGATATAAACTCCCCAAAACAGGCGAAAACATTAGTGATGGGAATTATGGCTCTTTGAAGGGAGCCGGATCTTATGGCTCCGTTCCTTTCAAAGAGCCGTTCAAAAGAGCCGTTTTTTTAAAAAGGGGGCGGGGTTACTAGGTTTATCTGCGAAATAATCACCAGGATAATGATTGACTGCATTGCCAGACCTAATGTCAATAATCTGCATTGTAAACATGACACAAGGTGGCGCCATATCCATGTCATTCATGTCAGTGAATGTACTTTGAATTTACCCTCTGCATGTGTTAAGTAAATAAAGTTGCCTTGCCTTGAATGAAATTCACGCAACTCTTAATATTAGTAGTGTGTTTTTAAGTGGCGATGGAGATTATTTGTTGACCCTGCTTTAAAGGATATTTTGCCTTTACAAATGGTGCGCTTTATCACTGCCTGGGTTTTGGTTGAAGTGCATCCAAATGCTGCTGCGTTTTCGCGTTTGGCTCATTTTACATCCGAAAAACACGTCGTCTATCTGTCCAGTACCACTTGTTATGACTTCTCTCTCTCGCGTATTCCGTTAAGACCCACCCCACCTAACTCCTCGTGCTGAAACCTACAAATCAGAGTAGGGGCGGGTCTTCACAGAATACGTTTGGGGAACAAAATCAAGCTTTTTAAAAGGCGAGTGAATTTTGGCAGGCAGTGAGTGCGGACCAACTTTGATTGAACGATAAGAAGAACGGCTCTCACCAAGTACGACTCGGTTCCCCTCGTTCGTACCAAAGAGCCGTTCAAAAGAATCGGCTCGTTCGCGACCGACACATCACTAGAAAACATACCACTGTCTCTGCCACCTCCCTCCATGCCTGGCTCCTCCGGTTTATATCCCGGTAGGTCTGGTCATAAAGCACCGGGTGATTGATTCGCTACCGCTAATTTCTCCTCCATGTTTTGGAATATGAGGAAATGACCTGCGGTCTGTCTCTCCCAGCATACACGCCGTTTGATTGGCTAGAGCTTGAACTGTCAGATTTGCGTACACGGGATTTGATTGGCTGACGCTTCCTCCTCAGCTTCAAAAGTTGAACATTGTTCAACTTTGGATCTTGAAAATCCTGAGAATCTCCGCTCGCCTGCCCACAATGCATTTCGGCGAAAGCGAAAAAAAGTGACGTCACCCCATTCAAAGTGAATGGGCAGAAGCGTTTCAAGATTTTTTAACGCTGCCGTGGAGACGGCCCGTTAGGGAGAAGGGAGATTATTTTTATTTTTACATGGACTGATATGCACTACACTACATTAGTGTACCACACTACATCACACTACATTACTGATCTAACATGAATATTTTCCTGTATATAGTTCTTTCAATTGCTAAAACCAGAACCAAGTGTGTTCTATAAGTCAAAAAGATCCTTTAGTCAAAGGACCTATGTGAGGAAGAAAGGGGTGTTTATTGGCAGACATTTAATGTCATATGACGTTATTCATTAACAAAAGTTGTGGATGCTAACTAACTTATCTTGCATTGATCTGTTCATCTGTTACATAAACTAGCATTACTTAAATATGCAGAGACTAATTGAAATGTTTAAATATGTATTTTTTTTCCCCGATATAACATCAACCTATGTTTTGTAAAAGTGTATTAAATGAATCTGTAAAATGTTATCATATTGTGGATTTATTATATTATGTATTGTCCTATGTTATTTTTGTGTGCATTTGTTTTGAGGTTATAATTAGGGCTGTCAGTCGATTAAAATATTTAATCGCGATTAATCGCATGATTGTCCATAGTTAATCGCAAATTAATCGCACATTTTTTATCTCTTCTAAATGTACCTTAGAGGGATATTTTTCAAGTTTTTAATACTCTTATCAACATATGAGTGGACAAATATGCTTTATATGTTTGTTTATTATCATTTGAACAATGACAAATATTCTCATGAATATTAAACACAACAACCTGTGAACATTACAAATATTCGCCTCAATTCAACCTGGAACCTCTCTCATACAATAATACATACTGTGTGTGTGTGTGTGTGTGTGTGTGTGTGCGTGTGCGTGTGCGTGTGCGTGTGCGTGTGCGTGTGGAGAGACACTGTGATGGATCGTTGAGCTATGTGCAGCTCAAGGCATATATGCTCCAACGGGAGCTGCCTGGACGCTGCAATCATGTTGCGCGTACTATCCGTGCTGAGTGTGCTGACTTTTCGTACAATGTCCCACTGTCTGGCTACCTGCATAAAGTCAAGTGCTCGGCGCAGTTGTCGGCGAAATGTCATTGAAACAGCTCCTTATATCCGTTAGCGCAGCTAGCTAGCACCAGATGCTAACAACAACAACACGTAAGGTGTGCCTCGCTCGCGTGAGTCGCGCCACACATACACACACCCTCCCGGTCCTCCCGATGGCCAGTCCGGGCCTGCCGGTGGGCGTGGAAGTGTGGTCTGCCACAAGCGGGCGGCAGGAGCGGGGCTGTCAGCATCAGCTTGTAGATGGTATGTTAAACTCGATGCGCTCTGAAACTACGGCGGCCGAGGACAAAAAAATACACATGCGTTAATCGCGTTAAAATAATTAGTGGCGTTAATTTTTTTTTGCGTTAACGCGTTATTAACGCGTTAACTTGACAGCCCTAGTTATAATTCATTAGTACCTAAACATAGTATGGTATGACTGCTTTTTGTAACGACCACAATGAAATACACAATTGGTTTGGGAGCAAGAAATCTTTTAATCATTGCTGCCCAGGCTTGCCCATGCTTTCACCAGTGGTCCGTTCTGGTAGTTGACCAGGAAGCAAGCCACATTGAAAAGCTCCTCAATGCTTCCACACACAGACAGTGGTATGGCTTTGTCAAAGAGTTTGTTCTCTTTGACCCTTCTGATGCACCTCTCCACATGGACCCTCAGACTTGCAATGGATTGAGTCTGCCTGACATCCTCCCTGCTCATTTGGGTTTTTTTTTTACAGAAAGGCAGGCCGGTAAACTTTGCACTCAACCAGATTGTCCACAAGGAACCCTTTGTCGACCATTATTGCCATGTCTGGTGTGAGCAGGCTCACGATGCCAGACAGCTTGAAAATCTCCCGGTCACTCATAGATCCTGCATACAGGCCAGACACAAATGTAATGGCACCATGTGGTGCCATGCCGATCATGGCCTTGAATGTAGCATGAGACTTGTATGTTGAAAACACCTCACTCTGCAGCAGGAGAGATGATGGAGTCTGGCAGAATACTTCAGTGCAGTCAAGCACCACTTGTGTGTCAGGGAAAGCTGAAAACTCTGGTGGAAGGTGAGCTCTGACAACTTCGCGTGGGATCCACAGACGTTGGCTTCCAAGCAGTTGGTACAGGAAGTGTGTCCAGGTGGAAATAATTCTGCTGACTGTGGTGCGGTGAATGCCAAACCGTTCTGCTAGATCCCTCAGATGTAGGCCCACTGACAGGTGCATGAGGAACAGCAGCAGCTCATCTATGGGTGGAAGTTTCTGTGAAAACAAATAAGTGTTAGGCATACTGTAGATACTGTTATAGGGAGACCGGGTACAGTTGTAACACATTTTCCGTTTGTATGTGTGTGTGTGTGTGTGTGTGTGTGTGTGTGTGTGTGTGTGTGTGTGTGTGTGTGTGTGTGTGTGTGTGTGTGTGGCATGTGTGTGTGTTGTGTGAGTGATGTGATGCACTTGTTAAACGGTGGTATAGTGCGCAGCGTGCATTATTATTAATATACATCCATGCTTGTATGCTGCATACCGTTGTTGTTGGTTGAGAGGAATCCGAGCTGCTGGCAGAGGATGCCTTGGCGTTGGTGATCCGCACCATCTTGGTGTTGGCTGCTGGCTCCACCAATTTCCAAAAGGCAAGGAAATGCTTGTATGTGGCAAATCTAAGAATGTAATATTGTTCATGTTAGACATTGTTTTGTTTCTTAAATTAGCTTCCCCAAATGAAAGGTGTTTTTCAAACTAGTGGCCATAACAACATCCTGATAGCCTTATAAACAAACCTGGTGTAGAAACGAATGTCCTCGTCCGACCCTGCCAGGCGTTGTATCCCGAAACGAGATCGCAGTTGTAACACTTCCAGCTGGTGTTGGAGCTCCCTAACCTGCATTTTCAAGGCTTCGTTCTCGTCGGCCACCTGATTTGCCATCACTGCCGTCGCGGGATTTAAACAGTACTCATGATCAGGCAGCGCAACTGTTTCCACCTCGTACTCAGCTGTCAAGTCCGGGGTGGGGCTCTCTGCCCTCGGCCGACGCTCCCAAACATTACGTCTTGGTGTAGGTAGCTCGTAGTTATTCCATGCAAAGAGAACAGGTGTAGCTCCTTTCTGTACTCTGTGCAGTCCTCCCGCTGTGACCAATAAGTCTCCTGGTCGAAAATGCCTACTGCACACACGGGTATTTTTTGTGGGGCTGAAATTGTCCCTACGGACCTTGATCAGCCACTGAGCCTTTACCTCAGCATCAATGGGAAATGCATGGAAACTTATCTCCCGATTATAACGGGCCGAATTCGTACACAGTGTTACACAGCAATGTAGTGCCGACTTTCTTACCCGCTGGAAGGCCAATCGCTTTTCTTTACCCCGAAATCCGCTCATTCTTGCTCTTGGTGTGTCATAACAAACTGTCAAACTGTCAAACTCAGGGATGCAAACTTGTCACCTTTCGGCGAAATCCAAAATAGGTCGTTTGTGTGATTCATGTAGATCTGCAATAAAAATATTTTCGGGGTATGGGGAGGGTCTGGGACCCGGAGTAATCTGCGGCCGCGAGCTGTTATGTGCCATCATGACACGCATGGTGTTCTTTTTTTATATATTCAGGGTGCGTACGGGTGCTGGAAATCCTTGAAAATGCTTGAAATTGTACGAGGTGTTTTCAAGGTTTGAAAAGTGCTTGAATTTTGGGAATGGTGCTTGAATTTGGGATAAAGTGCTTGAAATTGTAAATGCTTTACTTCGCTTTTTAGATTAAAAGAAAATAAAGAAGTCGGAGCGCGCTTAATTGCTTCGCTTTTACATAAAACAGCTCCGCTCCGGCCTTCCCGCGCTATGCGCGTGACCGGCAAGTGTTTTTGTTACGTGTGTGACCTGGGCATTCTGATGAGAGTGATAGATGACAGTATGCCAGGAGGTTGCCGTTTCAACGAGCGTTGGCTAGCAGAAGACAAATACAAGCCATGGCTAAGACGAGGGTCAAGCGAAGCCCAAGAGTAGCCTCCTGCAAAGTGTGCAACAATAACGATGCGAGAGTCTGCGCTGACGAGCCACACACCACACGAAAGGTACGCCACAGTAGAGCATTTTAGATTAGGCTATCGTTGCATGTAAAATACATGACACTTTTCTCTGTGCGCGGCAAAACAAGCTCGCCAAAATGGCTTCACTAGTCTGGCAGTATTTTAAGTGTCCGAAAATGACAATAAAATAGCGGTATGCAACGTGTGTGTGAAGCAGAAATCCTGCAGCTCCACCCGCTGTGACGGACCAGTGAGCGGAGCAGAACACACATTAACGGTACGTCTACACAGCAGCGTTAAAAAAATCTTGGAGGTGGGCGTATCTGAAGCTTGAGGATTTTTTGCGAGCAACCAATCACATGAATCTCCCGCCCGCGACATACGAAACAAAAAAGCCCGAAGTAAACTGGATATAAACTCCCCAAAACAGGCGAAAACCTACCACTGTCTCTGCCACCTCCCTCCATGCCTGGCTCCTCCGGTTTATATCCCGGTAGGTCTGGTCATAAAGCACCGGGTGATTGATTCGCTACCGCTAATTTCTCCTCCATTTTTTGGAATATGAGGAAATGACCTGCGGTGTCTCTCCCAGCATACACGCCGTTTGATTGGCTAGAGCTTGAACTGTCAGATTTGCGTACACGGGATTTGATTGGCTGCCGCTTCCACCTCAGCCTCAAAAGTTGAACATTGTTCAACTTTGAATCCTCAAAATCCTGAAAATCTCCGCTCGCCTGCCCACAATCCATTTCGGCGAAAAGTGAGGGAAAGTGACGTCACCCCATTCAAAGTGAATGGGCAGAAGCGTTTCAAGATTTTTTTAACGCTGCTGTGTAGACGTTCCGTAAGAGTTAGACCTAACACACTTAGCTATTTTATCTGCCTCTGGAACAAGCTAAACTAGTTATAAATATATTTATTCTTCACTGTCGGGTCGCTCATTACTGGATCAGTGAGCTGCAGGAGATACTGACGGGCTGTCAGGAGAGAGAGAGAGAGGGGGAGAGAGGAAAAGAGAGCGGTATCGGCCGATACTGATTCCGGCGATCGGCCCCAAAATTGGCGATCGGAGCATCCCTAATAATTGTATATGATATGTTTTATAATGATTGATCATGAAAGTGTTCTCAAAGCTGGTAAAGGTGCAGCTAGTTTGAATGACTTTGTATACTGCAGGGTAGCTTGTGGATTTACTCCAGGTGGAACTAAAGTCTGATTTAACACTTGATTATATTTCACATCATTCATCCACATCTGTGAAGTAACTAAAGGTATTAAATACATGTAGTGGAGTCACTGAAGTACACCATTTACCTCTGACTTGTGTTTACTGCCAACCTAAAAGTACCTCAAAAATAGTAATCAATAATATATTGAAAAGTTATTTGGCTGATTGTTTTATATTGGCTCAGCCAGGTTATATGGGATGCCCAGTCTACGTACAGATGGGTCACTCATTTTGAAATATTAAACTTAGTTTTCTTTTCTAACATTTTTAATTTTTCATCCTCATGTAGAATGCTATTATGAAACACACATTTGGTTGTTTATAGCATAAAGAACATCTGATTTAATGTGAGGTAGGGAAATAATCATTTGAGTATGTGTATTTAAATATGTAATTTACAACAGCTGTAAGATGCTTGAAAAGCTTGAAAATGCACCTTGAAAATGGTTGAAAAGTGCTTGAATTTGACTTTGGAAAAGGTGTAAGAACCCTGTATATTATAATGCAGCGCGAGCTGTGTGCTCGAGTCTTCCTGCCTGTCGACTCTGCTCATCGATGTATAATAAGGCTCTGCTGCTCCGCTATGATGGTCTAGCTTCAGCAGCTACATTACCTACGGGTGCGTTCGTTAATATTAACTCTGCGGTCCGGAGTCACTGTGGCACAGACTGGACCGCTGGTGAACAGCTGTTAGAACGGGCCGTTCAGAGCAGAGCTCCCTGTTGGAGCGCAGAGCGTGATGTGCACTGAAAAGTTTTTCTGTCGCAATATTATCATTGAGCTAGCTAACTAGCATACATTGTCACTATCTGCTAACGTTAGCTTTAGCCTTCGTTTTCTAATAGTTTTTTTCATAGGCTATAAACGGAGGTGGTATAAGTATAGATCTTGTACTTGAGTAAAAGTAGAAGCACTCAGATCTTGTACTTAAGTAAAAGTAGAAGTACTCAGGTCTTGTACTTGAGTAAAAGTAGAAGTACTCAGATCTTGTACTTGAGTAAAAGTAGAAGAACTCAGGTCTTGTACTTGAGTAAAAGTAGAAGTACTCAGATCTTGTGCTTGAGTAAAAGTAGAAGTACTCAGGTCTTGTACTTGAGTAAAAGTAGAAGTACTCAGGTCTTGTACTTGAGTAAAAGTAGAAGTACCAGAGTGTAGGAATACTCTGTTACAGTAAAAGTCCTGCATTCAAAATATTCCTCAAGTAAAAGTAGAAAAGTATTATCATCAAAATATAGTTAAAGTAGCGACAGTAAAAGTAGTAATTGTGCAGATTGGTCCATTTCAAAATAATATATATGATATGTTTTATAATGATTGATCATGAAAGTGTTCTCAAAGCTGGTAAAGCTGCAGCTAGTTTGAATGACTTTGTATACTGCAGGGTAGCTTGTGAATTTACTCCAGGTGGAACTAAAGTCTGATTTAACACTTGATTATATTTCACATCATTCATCCACATCTGTAAAGTAACTAAAGCAGGGTTCCTGCAGGTTTCGCCTACTCAAATTTAAGACTTTTTAAGACCTTTTTAAGACCACTTTGAATAGAATTTAAGACCTATTTCACGGCAAGAAAGTATGAAGGAAAATTGCTATGAAAGAAGAAATACGTCCCATAATTACTTACAAAGTAAATGTAAAGGCATAACAGTACAGAACTGTGTTAGCGTGTTAGACAAAAAGTGTATGTGTGTGTGTGTCTGTGTGTGTGTGTGTGTGTGTGTGTGTGTGTGTGTGTGTGTTAGGGGTGTGCAATTAATCGTATTTTAATCGCAATTACGATTTTGGCCTGCCACAATTACGAAATTATTTTGCTTTGCTAGGTTGTGACAGTGCACTACAACATATTTGATCTAATTAATTTTAGTCTAATTTATTTTTATTTATCATATTTATACATGTTTAATAGCTTGTGGAAGTGCGCTCCAAAATATTTGTTGATCTTGTTTATTGGTATTTATTATTTTGATATTATTTATTTAAATGTATAATTTATTTAATTTATTTTTGTATTGGTTTTGCAGTTGAATTATAGGTTCAGGGTAATCAACAGTTAAAAAGATACTGTTCAAATTATTATTTGTTTTAAAGTTCAATAAATGGATGTTTTCAAAGTCAATGAATAATCGTATTTAATAATCTTGATATCAATTATTGACCAAAATAATCGTGATTATGATTTTTGCCATAATCGCACAGCCCTAGTGTGTGTGTGAGAGAGAGAGAGAGAGAGAGAGAGAGAGAGAGAGAGAGAGAGAGAGAGAGAGAGAGAGAGAGAGAGAGTGACAAGAGCTATATTCAGAGCTCTGCTGCCTTGGCTACAATCTTTCATCGTTGCTGTTGTATGATCGGTGTTTAGCTACGGTATTTAGCGTCTACAGCACCTCCGCTTTTAGGGTTGACGTACACCCACACGTCGCCCAGAGGTCCGCCGGTGTTGTTGCAGGAGCTGCTGCACTAGCTAACGCTACATTAGCATACGCTACTTTCTTTTGCAAAAGGTGCAGCGGGCTTCAAACACGTTCCCCTCCCCTGGTTTCAACCAAGCACTAAATTCGATGTTTTCCAACCAAATACGGTTGAACTTACACTTCCCCATATTTATTTTTAAGTAGATTCTAAGATACATGAGTTTCTGACTGCCGCTAGCTGAAGCTTGCTAGCTGGGTGTTATCCAATAAGGGGCCGGGGGAAACAAAGTTAGTGATTACTGGTTCCATGTTGATTTATTTCAATACAAATTGTTGGGGGGAACTGAAAGGCTCTTACCGTACTGGTTACTTTGCAGCCCGGACATTTCCCCCAAAACACATTTAGACGCGATCTCAACACAGAAGTACCTTTCAAATCCGATCATTTTTAAGACCTTCTAAATCATATTTAAGACCTTTCTTATTTTTTTGGTCATATTTAAGACCTTTTTAAGGCCTTAAATTCAGATTATCAAATTTAAGACTTTTTAAGACCCCGCGGGAACCCTGTAAAGGTATTACATACATGT